AGTTTTCATTTTAAGGCATCTACTAGTGCTTGTTGACCCACCATCCATTGCTTTAATCTGTGCCATTAAAAATATCTCTTGTTCTGATTTAGAAAGAGCTTGAAAGGATTCTCTTAATTCTGCACATTATTCCCTGGGAATTCTTGAAGAACAACCACAATTACATCCCTTTTCTAAAAAATCAATGGCTTTTTGATATTCATTAGAACCATTATACTTATTATTACTTTTCATATACACTTATCCCTATATATAATTTGGGGCATACTGCAACAAAACCAGACAAAGTGAATATTGGTATTACCAAGAATTTCAGGGATTAATAATTTGTTTAACATCACAATTCCAAAAATTCAGTAAAGATCGAGTTGCAATGATTGCATTGTAACTGGCACTATTTTTTTTTTAAAAAATACACTTTTTTTAATAGCAACTACAGTCCACTCTCTCTATAATGAACCCTTCGCCCCTATATGTAATTTTTCTGCTTTTGTTCATTATAGGGGGAGTTTACTAAGATGTTCGTTATAGAGAGAGAAATTAATTATAAAACATTGAATCAGGGACAAAAGTGAAGTTTGTTATAGAGAGATTTTACTTAGTGCTCATTATAGAGAGGTTCATTATAGAGAGTGTGGACTTTAGATGGTTAATAAATAGTTATTTTTTACTTATGTAATAAAATATATGTGGTTTCGCGATTAGCTACGAAAAATATAAACTCTTTCATAGAGGCGATCTCAATTTTAGCATGGGATCAACTCAAGTATTACGAAAACCCATATCCAAGAATTGGATCTTACCAAGTAAACTTTAAATACTCTTGTAAATTCCTTTGAGCGGGAAATCATTTACATTAATAGATGCTTCCTATACCCTGAGTCATGATCAAAATTTAAAAATTATTAAATAAATATATTATTATTCTACTTGAGTCAGTGATTGAGGAGGTTACCAATTTTGCAATTAGTATAAATGTAATAAGAGAAAAGATTCTCAGTTTATTTTTTTTTTATAATAAAATTTCTAATATTCCAAAGTTGTTAATGAATAACTGTTGACCAAGTTATCTATTTATAAGTGATACAGTATCGAATAGAAAATTCTTGTGAATCTGCTGGGTGCTTTATCAACTCTTTTATGACATTGGAATATTCCATGACAGATAGTATTATGTATTCCATCATGTTAAATATTTCATGAAATCAGAAGTGGAAATCCCAGCTAAGTGGAAAAACTGCTGATAATATTTCTTCATCAACATAGTCATCTTTCCCTCTTAAGGATAATCACCTTAATGTGTGGCGATCCCCTTACCACATAATAAACAAAAAGATATGAATGGTGATCTACTTTTAATTTAAGCAGCAATCAAAAAATAATACTCACTTATTCCTTGAATACTTAAAGAATGAACTTTCCATACAAACCTAACATCATAGCAAAGGAAATTTAAGAGAACAGAATTTAAGGAGTCCATTCGTTCCTGGAGTGTTTTATTTGCATCACTGATTGGATGATTTTTTAAAAAATCAGTAGGAGCTCCACTCATTTCTAAAAATATAACCTGATGATTATCTGACAATCGGACACCAACTATATCAGCTTTTATTGGTCTTTGTTTGATGTATTGTCTTCAATAACAAGATGTTGATGTGTAGGTTCAATATCTATTCAATCCTATATGTTTGAGTACATAAGTAATTACATTTATAAGTTACAAAAAAAATCTTAAAAAATACCAATTACCAGTGAAATTGTATTTTATTAATAATGTTGCCTCGAGATAAATAAACAATGGAGATATTTTGTTAACAATCCAATCTCTTTCAACAGTATCAATATGCATAATATAGCTGGACACATCAATTATTTTGTGGATGCTAATAATAAATTGATTATTAGTATGACACATGAATTAGAATAACATTATAAATACTATTATTAAAAATTAACTTACAAGTCCATCAACACCTTTCCGATATATTTAATCATAGTGTTTTCAAATTCGTTTTTTGCAATATATGGGCTTAAAATCTGTATCCTGATTTCCTCTATCGAAAACTATAAAAACAATAGGAAAAAAGGTCCAATATATAAGCAAATGTTTAGTAATTATTTCTCAAAGATAGTCATTTACTTTCAGAATGTTTTCCAGCTATTCATGCAAATCTACAACGAAAACTATCTTGATTCAATATTACAATAAAAAAAATTAGATGAATAAATAAATTAAAAAAGCAAATGTACTAATATAAATTTATTACTATGCAGCATTTATAATAGAGATGCATATTTGATAATTTTCCGAGTTAAAATAAAAAAATTACATCGAAATCGTACGTAATAAATATATACGAAAACTATTTCTAATTTGGCTCAATTATCTGCTGGTGATGTTAAAATGAATAATAAATAATAATGGTGATGTTGCTAATAATAATGCAAAAGATTTTTTTCTGGACAATGATTTTACTATTACTAGTACTACTTTGTTGTTAACTGAAAAGATCTTTTGGTAATACCTTTTTTTAAAATTCCTTGCTCCTCTCATATAATATTTTAAATAGTTCCAATTTAAAGAATTCATAATATGGCTAATAGTAATAATGAGGATGATTCAGGAAATGGTCAAATTTGATAATAGATAAGTAACTGGAGGATGAAGTTATGAGGAAAACAACAACTACAATAACATATCATTAATGATAATAAAAAGGACGATAATTATATATTAATAACTATTATCTTGTATCGAGACACCTTCTTTTAATGAATGAACAACTCTCAAAGAGACTAGAAAGAAATCCTTTCAATGGCACAAAAAATATTTTTATATTCATTATTCAAATATTCTTTATAACAATAAGTAGTCGAGTCCCGTTTCCTGGGGGGGAAAGGTTAGAGGTTTCATTCAGAATTCATCCACGCACGTTTATTTTATTCAATGAATCTTTAAATGGAAACTCAAGTTTTTGTTCATTGTTATCGTGTAGTAGATTGAAATTTTTTTTTTTTTTTTTTTTTTTTGAGAAAAGAAAATTTTTAAGTGTTCGCCTGTAGGTAAAATGGGTAGACGCGTGGAATTTGTAGTGATCAGTAATACGAATAGTAAGTAAAAAATTAGGGGGTTTTTTTTTATATATAAAAAAAAAGTTTATTTATTTTATTTATTTATACGTATTATATATACGTATTATATATATACAACATCATGACTATAGTATATAGATGTTACTTCAACTTTTAAGTTTGTGTGAGAGTGACACGTGATATAAATAGATTTATTTTTAAAAAATCGCATGAACCCACCTATGCACCAACTAAATAAGTTCCTTTAACATTGCTTTTTTATGGGTTATTATGGAACGATAGATAACAGCATTACTCTCCAAATTTGTTTTGAGTTGCATGTAAATAGAGAAGGTATTGGTGTTTATTTGTTTCATCAAAACAATATTTGTACGTTCCCCTACATAAATATTAAAATTATTATTATATATATGCTTAAATTATTTTTATTTTATTTCCTTGTTAATTCAAATTTTGTAGTATAAATAAACTTAAAAAATTTTCCTTTTCAAAAAATTAAAAAAATTGACTAAATAAATAAAAACCAAAACAAAAAAAAAAATCAGACTAAACAAACAAAAAAATAAAATTGATAAAAAATAGAAAATTTATCATCTTTTTTTAATTATATCTGAAACAATGCTTGTCATTCCAACAATTGGTATGTATAAATAAATGTCTATAATTCTTTTTTTGTTTGCTTTTTTAATAAAAGTTATATCTTTTAAAAAAAAACTTGTAGGAGTTCAAAATAATCATTCATCAAAAATGAATAACAACAATTACAACAACCACAACAACAAACACAATAAATTTTCTTCTACCACAAATAAAAAATCCCTCCCATCAGATTGTATCGAAGAAATCTTGAAAAATGTCAAGGATAAAGCATCTTTATTCTCTTGGACCAGGGTGAATAGTACTTTGTGTAGTATAGCCATACAACTTTTATGGAGTTGTCCATTTTCAGATTTGAAGTGGCCACAAGATCATCATAAAGGGTATCTTTTAATACGTACATATATTGCATGTCTTTCAAAAAATAAAAAACAGCATTTAATTGATGAGGGTTATGATATGATCAATTATTACGGAGAAGCATTATTTGATTATCCATCATTTCTGAAAGAACTTGACATTGGTAATGTACAATATTCAATTTCTCAATGGTGGAATGAGACAGCAGATTATAGACTACGTCATAAAACTACAATTCCTGTATTGGAATCAGCTATATTTGAAATGTTATTCAATAACAATTATGGATTGAAAAGTTTGAATTGTCAATTACAAACCCGTTACAATATACCAAATTTTTCAAGTTTTGAAGGAATTCAGCAATCAATTTCTCAACTCACTGAACTTCAAATAGATTGTTCATCAAATGATAATGAAGGTTATATGATCGAACTGATTGATGTTATAATCAAGAATTCACAAAATATCCACACATTGGTGATTACTCCACCATCACCTCCACAGCAACAATATGAAATCAACATACTTTCAAGTAAACTACAATCATTGATTGAATCACAAAATAATTTAAAATTTATTTATACCACTTTACCTTACTTGGGAATATTTGATCCAATAAGTTCTGTTTCAATATTCTCAGCTTTAGCAAGTCAAACAGATAGTATAACAGAATTAGATCTTAGAAAAATGTTTATCAATTGGAATTCATTGGAAATTTTAGCAAAATGTTACAATTTAAAATCATTAACTTTAGTAAATTGTTATCAAGAAAAAGATATAAATAATTTCATGTTCCCAGAACCATCACTGCCACCATCGCCACCATCATCACCTACTTCCTCTTTTTCTTCTTTAATAAATAAAAATAATCTATTATCATCAATTACAAAATTAACAATAAATCATGCAACTGATTTTAGTCCTTTGTCAGAAGTTACAGCAACTTCAATTGTAATGATGGCAAGACAAAATTTAAAGGAATTGGTGATTGACTTCATTACACCAGAGTTATCAAAATTTATCAAACAACAGCAAATTCCAAATTTAGATTCATTGTCAATAAGAACTTTACAAATTAATGAATTACAAAAATGGTTAAAGCATTCAAAATTAGTTCATTTAGCATTAAGTGATGTTAGCAACAACTCTGAATTATTTTCACTCACCAACTCATATCAATTGGGAAAACTATTACCAGAAACTTTAAATCATTTACAGATTGAATGCAGATATAATATTGCACCAGAATCTTTAACTATACTATTGGAAAACTCTAATTGTAGAAATTTACAGGTTTTAAGTCTTGATGTTGAAATTTTCAATGACACTTTGTTAGAAGTTGTTGCTGATTATTCACGTGAAAATGGTAGAGTTTTAAAGGAATTGAGAATTGCTAATGACACATTATTAGAATATGATAAAAACTTGTGTAGAAAATTATCAAACGTGATACCTTTTATCAATCAAGATTATATTGACACTTGGCCTATTCTTTCTGGTAGGTTCTATTTTAATTCCTTTTATATGATTTTTCTATTGTATAATTAATTAATAAAGGAATGTTATTTTCTTTAATTTTTCAGAAAGGAGGGATCCTTTATGGAAGAATGTGATGAGTTTTGTATAAAATATTTTTTTTTTAAATAATTCTTATATGTATATGCTTTGTTTTTTTTTTATCACACTCTCTCATATGTATATATATTTATATATATCCATATCAATATCCATATCAATATTCATTTCCATATCCATGTCCATACCCATATCCATATTCACATCCAAACCCAAATCCAATTCATATCCAAATCCACATCCCACATCCAAATTCAAATCCACATACATAAACATTCATAAAATGTAAAGAGAAAAAAATTTTTCTAATTTACAGAATTTATTAAATAAGTTTTGCACATATATATATATATTCATACATTATAAATAAATAAACATTTTTCATTTTTTTTAAAACATTAGTTTTATTCTATCAAATCTATTCTTAATTGTTGAAATTCTTGCTTTTGGTAAGGTTTCATGCTTTGTAAGATATTTCTAACTTCGATTTCTTTTTCTGCTATCCATGAATTTTTCATTTCTTCATTATCATCATTATTGTTGTTATCAAAACTATTCAGTTTCTCCATTATATTCTTTATATCAGATTTCCAATAAAATTTTTGATAGAAAACTGATGGGTTATAACATTTCGTTGAGGGAATGAGTGAAAACACTATTTTTGGAATTGATGATGGTGGATTACGTAGCCTTTATTATTATATAAAATAATATTTAAATGCAATTGATTGGATTAGTATTAGTATCATGTAAATAAAATATACAAATTAAAATATTTTTCATAAATAATACTTACGATAATTGTATAGTTTTTTCACTAAAACAACTTCCGCAACAAATAATCATTGATGGCCAAATTTCGTAATAAAATCTTTCGTATAATCCATCACAATATTGACATTTTTTTGCCAACAAAGTTAACCAAATATATTTTTGTTCCGTTAAACCAAATGGTGGATCCAACTCAGGATATTTCAAGGATTGCCGTCTTGATTCTTTCCAAATCATTTGTGTTGTCAATGATTTTGACCATAATAAATCACGAAAAAATTTACATACAGTGGATAAATTGTATAAATCAATTGGTGTAACTTTTTTACAAATATCTATTATGATTTCAGCTGGTAATTGAGTTATGATTGTTTTTATTATTATCGGATTTGGTATAATTGATGATGATGGTATGTTTGGAATATTATTAATGGTTTTTGTTGTTGTTGTTGTTGACAATGATATTGATGATGTTGATGTTGGTTTAATTAGTGTTTTTGAATTTTTGACTGCTGCTACTACTATTCCTGCTGCTGCTACTAATGATGATGATGATGATGATTTGGTTGAAAAATCTTTTTTATCATTATTAATTGATGATGATGATTTCTCTTTATAATGTTCCTTTTCTAATTTGTCAGGATTTACACTATTATTATTAGATCCAAATATTGAACACATAAAAAATTCACGTAAAACTGTAAATAACTCATTGCTCTTTTTACATTTTACTCTTTTTCTTTTTATATATAAAAATTATTAAGATAGTTTTTTAATAGATAAATATATAAATATATATTATATATATATATATATATATATATATATATATATATATATTATAATACCATATAATGATAATAAAAAATAAATAAATAAATTTCTATCTATCTATTAATGTAATATTAATTCAAAAAAAATTTCAAACTTCGTTAGATACTTTTCTTTTTTTATAAAAAAAAATTTTTAATTAATATTAATATGAATAAAATAGAAGGGTTGAAGATCTCTTTGATAATTCCTTTTATTGGCAATATCTACATTTTTCTTCATGTATGCATTTTTCTGGGCAAAGGTCACACGGCTATTTATTATTATCACACACGCACGATCTGTCTGATCAGATCTACATTTGTGGGGTTGTTGACGTTACAGATTTACTAAAACAAAGTTGGCTTACTATGTATGAATAAAGCTAATAAAGGGGTGGTTGTACGTGATATTTAAGACTTTGCTATAGAATTGGGGGTGTGCTCCCGATTCATTCACGGATCAGCAATTAAAGTGTCTGATAAAATTTTGGAAAACAAAAAAATAAAATGTACTCGTTCAAATGTTAACAAGGATCCATGTCCTTCCTATACCAGATGAGCTAACTGCAGTCTTCTGCCGTGTTTCATCTTCTGTGTGCTATACTGATATCTGAATGGTTGTATGACTAAAGGGCATCGGCGGTTGACACTCTGAAATGCCGCGGAATGCAAGTCAGATCTTTCTTGCAGTTGCCACCTCATGGCCTGCGGTCTGTATGTGTACACTCTGATTAATTTAAAAGATATACAAGGCTTGAATAATTCTGGAATGAAATTGGGAGCACTTGCCTATATCTCGAATCTTGAATCTTATGAGGTTTGTCATCATTACTTTTTTCTGCTATATCAGCTTCAGGCTCACATTGGTTGCATCATGATTAATTACGAGCTACTCAAGTTGCTATGTGTGGAACCACAAACTTGCTCAAAACGCTATAAATGGAGACACACTAGTACGAATGAAAATATGAAAGTCCTGCAAACACCACACAATTTTTTAGCCAATAAAGCTTTTATATTTTAATTTAAACAAATGATATAAATTATCAAAATTATTTTTAAAGAATCATCATAAGTTAATAACAATTTAATAATAATAATGTTGATAGCATCAACAACAGGAAGTAATGGATATCTAAATTTTGATATTTGCACAATCATTCCTAATAATGACTTTTTTAAATATCAAAAACAACTTTAAGGGAAAATTTGCCATTGCCTAAATTATTGTTTTACTTATTGTATATAATATGTTAAAATAAATGGATCAGCACTAATGGTATACACTTATTATATAAATATTCTTGAACTCACAAATCCAAATCACATGAATGGGCATTCATTCACCCCTAGAAGTTTTGAGGATGATTTAAATCTAGATTTGTTTCCAAATTTATCAAAGATAGCTTTAGATTACATATAGTTGTCAATTTCAGGGAAAGAAGCCTTTTGGTTTATAAAAATATTTTAGCTAATGAATGGTCACGCGCTTTCAAATGATTAAATTATTTGTTTTTAGTTTAATTAATAAACAAAAAGTTAAGAACTTATATTCATCAGTAGTACAGCATATTCATGTTTCAAGCAAGATTACATGTTTGTAATGAAGATGCACATAAAATTTTGACATCAAAGAATAGATGAACAAATATACATTAAGATACAACAGCCAATTAATGACAAAGTTCAAAGATTACTACTTATCAAAATCTCCTTGATTATAATTATTATTTAAAAGTTTTTTTGTATCTTACATTATATTATGTATAGTAAGTTTTTTATTTTTTTAAAAATATTTTTCAATCAGGTATTGTTTCCTCCTAAATTAATAAAGGAATTATGAAAAATCATATTGTATTTTTTATTTGACTATTATGATTAATTTGAAAAAATAAAATGACAATTTTACCTTTCTAAAGAAATAAAATCAATCCTTCGTAAAAATTTGATTATGAGTTAAAACTATGTCAGGCTTTATATCATAGTTTGTAGTTGGTATTTTTTTGAGTATTTGACTTTCAAGCACAATTGCAACTTTTTAAAAAAGATAATTAATTGTACTATGTATATGTTGATTGATATTAGATTGAATTTAAAACAAATTATTACTTACTGGTTATTGGTAGATTTTTTTTATTTTCTATTGATAGTTTTTGACAATTAGCTAAAAATTTATCATAGTATCTGTTTATACAATAGAAAATTAATAATAATTCAAAAAATGATTTTTAATCCAACTAATTCTTTACCCTTTTCCATGGCCTAGCCTATTTCTTTCAATGTCAAATGCCAAGCCTGGCATAATAATCAAATCTAACTCAGTTGCTAATATAATTAACCAATCATATTATTATCAGAAATATTTATGATTTATAATCTATTGATGTAAACTTTTTATTTACCAACTTCAAGTTTTTCATCAAGATTTGGTTCTGGTATGGCCTAGCCTATTTCTTTCAATGTCAAATGCCAAGCCTGGCATAATAATCAAATCTAACTCAGTTGCTAATATAATTAACCAATCATATTATTATCAGAAATATTTATGATTTATAATCTATTGATGTAAACTTTTTATTTACCAACTTCAAGTTTTTCATCAAGATTTGGTTCTGGTATATTCCATCGGTTTAATGGCAATGACAAATAATCTTGATAAGATTTAAGTCTAACCATTTCCATGTAATCACCATTACATCTTGGCACATAACATATCTTTTCTGATTTTATTGAGAATTTAGTAAATTCTATTAAAAAAAAAATTTTTTTATAAAAACAGTAAAAAAAACCTTTGTCAAAAATATCTTTGATAATTGCTTTTGTTGAGATTTCAGAATTTGGTGTACTAAGATATATGCTAACTTTTTTACTATTTTGCTATTCTTCAATATCAATGATCATTTTTCGTATTTTTTAATTTCACTATTACTTCCAGGAACGTCTGAAAAGATTGTCCAAACTAATGAACAAATATTTTTCTTAGATTTTGTTATATAAAAAAAATTTTTTTAACATGCATCTTATTCATATCATTTTCTTGAATAATTTCTGAATTTTGACCAATTCCATCATTGATTTTTTTGATCTTTTTATATATTTTGAAGATAAGCTAAAAAAGTTTTTTTATTGAATGTAAATTATTATTTCTTTTGTTAAGGCATGATAAAAGTATTTTTATGGAAATGGTTTTGTAATTAATAATGATGGTCGAAATTTAACAATGACCCTAGCGCTCAAATTCCTCATGAGCATAGTAAAGTATATGTTTTAAAAAAGAATAGAGCCCTATAACAATAATTTTTTTGAGAAAATATCTCTATTACATTAAAATTAAAGACTTATTCTATCAACCAATAGAGTTATTTTTTTAAAAGGTGGGACAGGAAATGACTTCTATACTTTTAAAATTTAGGAGACCTTTAGACCGAGCCAACTATATGTTTTACAACCACTAGTTGTGGAACAAATTTATTAATAATAAATCCGTTATGACAAACAATTTTAATTAATGTTAATAAAAAAAGGGAATATTTAAATCCGTTGTAACAAGAAATCCACTGTGACGAGGTTTGACTGTATCAGCAGCCCAACTCAGGACCAGAATTACATAATCAATTCTCATACCGTAAGCATTCCGTTTTTCTTTGAACACATTACATAACTCGCAAACATTCATTATATTCTGGTTTGGTGGAGATGAAGCTACCAAATGGACAACCTTCCAAGGATCTCACAATTATGATGTGATGTCCGTCATTTTTTGTCAAGTGACACCATTCGTTGACCTTGTCACAACTTGCAATTTATTGTCTTCGATTCACCACCCAAATCAATATATGTCTTGGTATAAAAGTCCTTTTAGTAATGATAAACGTATTATAAAATCGTCTGATCAATTTTTCTCTATGTATCAACCAATCACAGAGAAAAGCTGCTATGTTGTACTTTAAACCTTTTAAGAAAAGAGCGTGAAAATGAGAATACCCTCTATGTTCGTTAATTCACTGTCCGTACATTGAAGATATCAATCACGTGATTGAATTTCTTGATGATCTTTCAGTTTCTTAAAGTACAACATTCTTATTGAATAAGAAATCAATGTGAATTTGCTAACATTTCTCCTCCGTGGGTTTATAGTAATAATAATAATAAAGATAAACGTTAGTACCTGGGTAGCCAAATTA